ATGCTAAAGGAGTTTTTGCTCTTTACATTAAAATGGCTCAGAGAACAGGTATGTGGTTTTTTTTAAGTTACAGTTGTTGCTTTCTAGAATTTTTATTTCTACTAACATGTACTCACCCTCTTTCTATATAATAATAATAATAATAATAATAATAATAAAAAGATTGGAATGCTCCCATTTACTAGCAAGACTGTTATGACTATTCAAACCAAAGACCAAGGAGGCTAGATTATCCTGGATAGATAAGCAGGGCAGCAGGACAGCTGTGGAGCCTTCACCTTGAGGGCACTGGCTGACCCACACTTGAGCAGCAGTTTCCAGAACCTCAAAGGACAATAGATAAAGTTGAAGGCTGGACCAAGGTGGGAAGTCTAACTAGAGACTTCCATTGAAGGTAGGATCTCAAAGGGCAACATCCTTTTAGAAGAAAGTAAAAATCATTCATCTCCAACTGCCAGATACCAGCCAGGTAAATTGTCTGTGTCAAACCTTAAAACCCTAGTGCTAAGTGAAAAGGGGGAAAAAAAAACAACACTTTCCCCTAAGGATTTAAACCCACTAGGCAATAAGAAGGACCAAACTACTTATCAAAACAATGTAGATGAATTTCAAAAACATTATGCAGAGAATTCAAAACCACAAGTGGCCTTCACTGGGCTTTACAAGCTAAAGTCTCACTATTTGCATGCCTCAGTAAACCTCAAGCCAATAATGTAGTTTAAAGTTGTCCCAGGTTGATAGTGCCTGTGACCAGAGTTAAGCAAACTATTTCAGGTGAAAGGTCAGAGTAAATAATTTAGACTTTGAGGGCATCCAGTCACTGTTACATCTACTCAGCTCCACTGTGGTGGTGCAAAACCAAACAGACCACGTGCTAACAAAGGCATGTGGCTGTCTTCCAACATAGTTTTGTTTACAAAAACAGGCAGAGGGCAGGAATCAGCAATCTGTGATTGGCCCAAATGAAGATAAAATTCTTTGGATGACAGATCATTATGAAAATTCTCTAAACACACAAAGAAATAAAACTCCATCAATGAGAAGCCACAGGGGGGAAAAAGACCCTGAAAAGGTGTAAGATTTTGGGATAGGTGGGGAAAATACCAAATCAATAAGCATAAGATGCTCCAAAACTTATTTAAGAGTAAGCACATTTGAAAAAGAATCAGATATAGCTCATATAAATGAGCAATATAAAAATTGAAATTAAAAACTCAATAAAGAGATGTAGCAGCAGATTAGATAGAACTAAAGAGAGAATTAGTGAAATGGTAAGACTGAAGTTTATCTAGAAAGAAGTCTAGCGGATCAAAGAAATGAAGACGGGAGGCTGGGCAGGGGGCAGTGAAGGGATTGAGCAACAAAGAAAAAACTCATGGACACAGACCACAGTGTGGTGATTGCCAGGGGGAGGGAGGTTTGGGGGAAATGGAGAGGGGTACAGGGGGGATAAATGGTGATGAACGGAGACTTCACTTGGGGCGGTGAACACACAATACAGTGCACAGAGGATGTGCTATAGAATTGTGCACCTGAAACCTGTATAATTGTTAACCAGTGTCACCCCAATCAATTCAATAAAAAGGAAAGAAAAGATATCAACAGAATGACCAAAGTACAACATGTGCACTGAAGGTATAATGGCGAATCACCAAGTTGGATATGCTTTGGCAAGTCTGCTTATACAGGAAAACTTTCCTCAGACTGTTTTTTGCACCAGACTGTGATCCAGGCCTATTTCCCTGTGCTCTGAGTATATTTACTGTTTCATACATGGCTGCTCATCTGATCTCAGAATGTGCCAGGACATTTCATAAGCCCTGGGAATTCCTAAAACCAGTATCTGTAAACAGCACCAGGACAAAGAATCGAGATTTTAAAAAGGCCATCTCATGGTTCAATAAACGAATCTGTGCAAAGGGTTAGATGAAAGGTCTTACCTAATGGGATTTTTCTACCCAATCCTGCCTACCCTTGATATACCATTACAGTTACAGAAGACTCGGGAATACTAAACTCTGGAACAATATTTCTAAAGTGGGTATAAATAATATAAGGAAAGGCAAATGCAAAAAAAAAAAAGGAGTTCCGAGCATAAGCTAAATCTAAACAGTATGTATTTACTAAAAACATGTTTTCAGTAACATAGCAATTCCTCAAACAACTTGAAAACTAGCTATGTAAGCAAAGACCTACAAAAGTTCTGATTGAGCCCAGCTGGTTGACTCAGTGGTTGAGCATCAACCTATGAACCAGGAGGTCACGGTTCGATTCCCGGTCAGGGCACATGCCCGGGTTGCGGGCTTGATTTCCAATGTGGGGTATGCAGGAGGCAGCTGCTCAATGATTCTCTCTCATCGTTGATGTTTCTGTCTCTCTCTCTCCCTTTCCCTTCTTCTCTGAAATTAATAAAAATATATATGAAAAGAAAAAAGTTCTGACTGAGATAGCATGAGATTTTCCAGTGAATACACAACAGCATTATTGCTTTCACGGTGCTCTTGGAACGATATGTTTTATCAGTGTCCAAACAAGACAGACTTGCCACAGCATATTCAACTTGGGGCTTTTCCATTATCCATTGAAGCTCCCTTGGAGAAAATAACAAAAAAGGCACTCTTGTTTCTGAGAAAAAATATATAAGACAATGAGTTACCATGGATTTGCTGATGTTCAGTCAAGATCACCCCGGGTACAGTTTGGGGGGCAAAACTTAAAGCAAGAAGGAAACGATGAGGGTTGGGGGGGATGAGAATAGCAGAGTAACTAACCAGGAAGGTAGCCTGTTTGCAAATTTTCCTTTGGGATCAAATCCATGTATCTAGATAAGACTCTATACCGATAACACTGTGCCAGGCCAACCTATAGTCAATTAAGAGATAGTTGCCGGAGTTCACCAGCGAAATAACTGAAGTCTGTGACTCTGCTCAAGACAGAGTCCACAGGGTCAGAGTCCAGATAACCAGGCCAGACAAAAAGAAGAAAACAACCTAAAACCAGCAGCTCATGCTCTCATTTCCCAGATGTTCCAGTCCGATGAAATCTAACTATGTCATTGAAATGAAAAACAATCATTGGTTGTAAGAAAAAAACATCTAACTTACTCAAAACCAAAAGATGATAGAGGTGAGGGGAAAATAATACAAAACACACTTAGAAATATAGAATTTATTTATATTCACCATAAGGTAGTTTCACATTCTGTACATGGTGACCAGGAGAGATATAATACTCTCCGAGTTTAAGATGGCATTATATTGCTATCAAACATTGCTTATGCTGTGCGTCAAAAAACACTTATTTTCCCCTTTACAAAATTTAAGGCTCAGTTTCCAAAAGATCATTTTACCACTTATTTTTCTGTTTAAGAAACTGGAAAAATTCTGAAACAAACTATAAAGTGGTGGAGGGTGAGGGGCAGTGCCACACACATCACTCATTC